AAAAATTTTTTGGGTAATTTAATAAATCGGCCAACAACATTTTTTAACTTTTTTTTTGGGTGAATTTGAAGGCGACGAAATTATAAATGAGTTTAAATAATGATAATAATAATAGTGATAATAATGATAATGAGAATGATGATAACGTAATGATGATTGGACGACGGTTGAAAATTTTTTTTTTTTTGCGTCGGAAAATAATATATTATGGCGCGCTTTTTTTCCCCATCAAAATTATAAAACGTTTTTATTTATTTATTTTTTTTTTTTAAAGTTGGTACACCTTCGGTTTAAAATTTTTTTCATATTTAAAAAACCGGCAAGAAAAGTTTTTAAAAAGTTTTTTCGTTTTTTACCTTCCATTTTACCCTTCGTTCGTCTTAATCTATTTTTTCCCTTTTATTTTTTCTCGAAATTTCTAGAATTTTACAAAACAATGATTTTCCATAAAGGAAAATTTAATCTATTATTATTATTATTATTATTATTTACAAACGTTTATTTTGAAAAAAATTAAACAAAAACAAAAAAAATCTTCAATAAAAAATACAAAAAAAAAAAAAAGTGGCAGCAGACAAATAAATAAATAAAAAATGGCCGCGAACGTAATAACAAAATTTGTGTTTTCACGATCGAAAAATTCGCGCGTAAAATTTAAAAAAAAAAAAAAAAACGATTCCGACGGAAGTAAGAAAATCGTTATTGATATTCATCACCGGAAGTTTACAAACAATTTTTTTATTTTTTTGTGACGTACCTTAAACTCGTTGTTTTGTTTTTCTTTTTTTTAACTCCTTTATATACATTTTTTAAATCACTGCCATCTTCATCTTCTTCGTCATCATCGTCGTTGACGTTGCGTTTGTCGCGTTTGTCGTTGTTTTCATTGCGTTTGTCGTATCCGTCGTCGTCGTCATCGTCATCGTTATTGTGATTCGGTTTTATCCGGTTGAATGAATTTACTTCTACCGTTTTTAAATAAATAAATAAATATTTATACTTATTTTAAATATGGTAGGAAAAAAAACGTGGCAATTAATAAACGTTGTTCTTTTGTTTTAACAATAAAAATGATAATAATAATAATTATTATTATTGTTATTTCCACGAGAGAGTTAAAAAAAACGATAAAATTTATTTTTATGCAAAAAAAAAAAAATAAATAAATAAACATTTTAAAATGAATTAGAAAAAAAAATATGAAAAACGTCATTTTAAATAATGATGATTATACTAATACTAATGATAATAATAATACCGGAAACGAACGGTAAGAGAGAATGAAAATAATAATAATAATACTAAAAACAGAATTTCCTTTAGTATTTTTTTCTTCTTTTTCGGTGCCTTTTATGAAAAATCATTCATACAGGTGATAGGAAACGACGATCGTATAAATAATAATAATAATAATGATGATAATGATAATGATAATAATCGATTTATCGCGTGATTCAATAATTAAATAAAAAAGAATAAAAAAAAATTTTTTTTTTCATATTTTTTATTAATTTAAAAAGAAATGGAGGATGAAATGAAAAGAACGCGGAAAGAAAATTTTTTTTTTTTTTACTTGATTCCCCCCCCCCTCCCTCCGTCTTGTGTGACGTTTGCCAACAGCAAAATTCGAAATATAATTATCATCATCATCATCATCATCATTATCGTTGTTATTATTTGCGATGATTAAATTTAAAAAAAAAAAAAATTAATTTAAAAATCGTAAATTTAACGTCATTTTTTTTTTATTTATTTGCCGTTAATTGGGATTTAGTTTGGGGGCCCCATTTGTAGTATTTATCATTGAGGCCCTTTTACAAAGGAAGAGAAACGTGGGGGGGAAGAAACGAGTGTAAACGCACACACAAACACGGAAACGATTAAAAAATAAAAATAAATAAATAAAAATTTTCTCTCTCTCTTTTTTTTAATTGAAATAATGAACCGATTTATTTTTTATTTATTTAAAATTATTTAAACGTAATAAATTAGTAAAAGAATTAAATAACTAAAAAAAAAAACTTGACTAATGACACGACGTACTGGTTTTATTTTTTCGATACTTTCAAAAAATTTATTTTTAGATTGTAATTGTAATTTTTTTTAAATTGGTAAAAAAATGTTGCCAATTGTGGTTTAATTAATTTTTTTAAAAAAATATTATCGTGTCAACATATTTCTATTTACACGTTTATTTTCTCTCTCTCTCTCTTTTCGTTTGTTTGTTTAATTTCTCTTGTTTATTAAAAAATAAATCATTTAAGATATTAATAATATAAAAATTTTATTGTTACAAAAATTAAATTCAGGCATCGACGACAAAAAAAATTTGGTTGTTGTTGTTGTTGTCGTGGTTGTTGTTGTGGTTGTTGTCGAACGTTTAAATATGAAGAAGAAGTAATAATTAAATGAAAATTAAACGTTAAATGACATCTGTACAAATAAAAATTCAAAAACCAAATGTTTTTACAGATAATTATTATTATTATTACTAATATATCTGTTTAACTTATTACTTTTTCATCTTCTCTCTCTCTCTCTCTCTCTCTTTCTGTCTCCCTCATCTTAAACCTCAGAATTCGATTTTCTTTTTTCCACGAATTGATTTTATTAAAAAACAAAAATTAAACGATTAAAATTATTATTAATGTTTTATAAAAATATTATTAAAGTAAAAAAAAAAAGTGAGAGTGAGTTAAAGAGAGAGAGATATTGAAAAAAAGAAAAGAGAGAGAAAGAGAGAGAGAAAATATTGAAATATGAAAATTTCACATAATCAAAATGTCAGTTGTAGGCCGTTTGTTCTACTAACCCAAAATCTAATAAATTTATTTAGTTATAACTTGATTTAAGAAAAAAAAAAAAAAAAAAACGTACCTATGATCTCTCTCTCTCTCTCTATCTCTTTTATATACTCCTCTTTCTTTCTCTCTCTCTCTTACTTATTTATTTTTAAAAAAAAATTCGCACTCACTTGCGAAAAAAAAGAAAAGTAAAAAAATTTTTTTTGTAACGATCAAATAACAAAAATAAAATGTTTCTCCCCTCGAGGGGGATTAAAAGGAGAGTGGTGGTGACGGGGGGACCGTGTAAAGGTTTAAAGGAATCGAATTAAATTAATAAAAGGAACCTGAGAGGGAGGACGGGATTAGGAAATGGGGGGAAAGAAGAGAATCTTTTATATGAAAAAAAAAAATTTGTTGGTTTTTCTATTTAAAGCGTGTGAAAAAAATTTTTATTTTCCTTATTCCGGTCCTGCCCATTTAATTATTACTTGAAATGAATAAATAAAAAATGGGAGGAGATGTGCGCGTAAGGCCCCCTGAACAATTATTTAAAAATAACCTTTTTTTTCAAAAAGGTTTTCCTTTTAAAAAAAAAATATTTTAGTAGGTCAACGATCTCAAATATCTTTTTTTTTTAAGGTTCGCACGGATGTCGTAAATTTTATATTCAAAAAAAAATAATCCTTCGGGATACCTGTCGAAATATTCCAGAATGTTCTTCCCAGGTTGTTTCTTTTTTTTTTTTTTTTATTTAACCCTTCGAAATTCTTTTTCCATCATTTTTTTTATTGATATTTCGTACTTTACTTTTTCGAATCGTTTCCGTTTTTTTTTTTTTTTTTATTAATTTTATTATCATTATTATTTTCATATTGATTTTATTATCATTATCAATAAAGTTACGTAAAATTTAAAAAAAAAAAAAAAAAACTCGATCACGATCGCCGCATAAAAAAAAAAAAAAAAATTTTTTTAAAACTTGTTATCGACTTTCTCCAGGAGATTTCAAGCATTTCCGGTATTTTTTTTTTTTTTTAAAAACCTTCAATTTTTTTTTTTTTTAAATTATTTACACAAGAAAAACAGGTACGGATTAATTAATTAATGGTGGTTAAAGAGTTGAAAGAAGTATAAAAAAATTTGCCTGTTTTTTTTTTTTTTAACTGCTGACACGATAAAAACCCGACGATAAAATAATAATTTCTCGTCGTTTTTAATTTTTACAAAAAGGTTGTTGATTTTTTTTTTTTTTTTCTTTTTTTATACAAACGGTTTTATTTGAAACGTTTATTATTATTATTATTATTATTATTATTATTATTATTATTAATTGTAGTAAATTAAAAAATTATGATGACGACGTTAAAAATATGGAGAGAGAGAGAGAGAGAGAGAGAAAAAAAAAAGCGTGTGGGCCGGTTGTTCCTGCCGCCATTATTAAGAATGAAAGGCACGCGACCGCCCCTATATACACATATAGAAAAAAATTTCAAGGGTCATTCATTTTGATTTAAAAAAAAAAATAAAATAAAATAAGTTTGCAGAACATGTTTTAAAAATCAAATTAAATAAAAGGGGATCATCATCATCATCATCATCATTATCATCATCGCACGACCCGGCGGTTAGATAAACCAGACATTCATTCATTATTTTTTTTATTCTTTCTGGAATGATTTTGATGAAAAGATTAAAGATGAAGAGGAAATAAAAGGGAAATTTTTTTTTTTCTCCTGATTCTAATACCACGATGTCTTGTCTGCCCCGAAAAAAAAATGAAACGATGTATCAAAATTAATGCGACGATACGAATTTTTTTTTTGTTATATAAATGAATGAAATATAATTATGGTCGCCATATTGTATGACGTCATCGTCGCGATATTTTGTTTTTTTTTAATATGTGTGGTAAACATGTGAAAAAATTGGATTACAAAAAGGGATTAAAACGAAAAAAAAAAAAAATTAATTAAAAATATATAAATATATTTATATTTGTGGTGAAAAAAAAACTAAAAACTACAGTAATAATAATAATAATAACTAAAACTAAAACATAATTTAAACAAATAATAAACAGTAACAAAAATTGAAAATTAAAAAAAATTATGTACAGGAATATTATATCACTACTAATTACAAATTATTATTATGACGTCATTATATATAAATATAATGATTTTTTTTTTTTTTTTTTTACAGCATCGTCTTCTGCTAGACGGTTGTAAAAGGTGCCGCACTCGTCGATATCGTTTTCGGTGCTTTTTTACCGCATTTTAATTTCTTTTTTATTTTGTCGAAAATTGCTTTCAATTCTCTTTTGGCTTGTTCCAGGTCTTTACAAGCGGAAGTCCTGAATTGTCGAGGTGAAAAATTACTGGATTCGTCATCTGAACATGATTCGCACGTGCAACAATCGTCGTAATCGTCTTCATCTTCTTCGTCTGCGTCGTGATGTTTCCGATGATGATTATCGCGATTGTTTTTAGAAATCGATGATTCCGTCGTTGATTGTTCCGAAGTGCCTTGATTTACAGGTAGGAAAACTGATTTTGGATATGATGATGTGCTCGAATGATGGGATGGAGGTAGGAGTACACTGCTTTGAGCTGGAGTTGGTTCCACGGAAGTCGTTTGGAATGTTGTTGCTTTTTGAGATTGAGAAATACCTAATTCGTCTTGATCTTCCGGCCAAGAATCTGTTAAGCTCGAATCTGGTTCTACCGTTTTAACAGGTACGTATGTGGGTGGTGGTGGTAGTGATGGTTGTTGTTGGTTCTGTATTTCGACTGGGTTTGCTGGAAGTGGGGTTCCGATTTTTTGGTTTGTTGGAAGTTGACCTGCAACTCCTGGGTTTGTCGGAAGTTGGCTAGCAATTCCTTGGTTTACTGGAAGTTGGCTTGTCACTCCTTGGTTTGTCGGAAGTTGACCGGAAACTCCATGGTTTGTTGGAAGTTCGCTTGTCACTCCTTGGTTTGTCGGAAGTTGACCAGCAACTCCTTGGTTTGTCGGAAGTTGACCAGCAACTCCTTGGTTTGTTGGAAGTTGACCTGCAACTCCTTGGTTTGTTGGAAGTTGGCTTGCAATTCCTTGGTTCGTTGGAAGTTGGCTTTCAACTCCTTCGTTTATTGGAAGTTGGCTTTCAACTCCTTGGCTTGTTGCTTGTGCGCCCACATTTTGTGTTAAAGAGTTTAGAGGTGGTGCTAAGGTAGGACTCATAAACGGAGTTTGATTGGGGAAAGGTTGTACTGCGTCTTGACTTTGAACAGGCGGGGTAGAAACACCTTGATTACCAATGCTCAGTGAATCGGCTGGTGGTTTTACGTTAGGGACAATAACGGGATTCATTAATGGAGTTTTTACTTGTGAATCAGGTATGGCCAAGTTTGGTTGTGGAACTACGGTATTAGTTGGTTGCATGAGACCGACTGAAGGTGAAACCGGAAGATTATTTTCGGGTGATGTATTTGGAAGATTATTATTGACTGATGATGGTTCGTTTAGTGGAGGCTTCGATAAAAATGGTATAGGTGGCAAAGATGTTACGGGAGGGCTGGAAGAAAAGTCAGAAGTTTGAGTAGAATCAGATTTTACATGTGGCAATAATTCTCCGGAACTACTTTTTCCTGAAGAAGGTGATTGGGTTGCCATTTGATTTGGCACAAATGGAACATTTGAAGATCCCGGTAATTGATTTCCTGGGAGAATTGACGGATTCGCTGGCGGTTGAATTTGTGGCACTGTTATTAATGGCATCTCATTCGTGATTGGATTTAGTGGTTCGGAAGACTTAACTTCTTCGTTGGGTACTCCAGCAAAGTGATTTTCTGAAGGTGGCACATTATTTGTTGATACTGTACTTGGCGGCAAGTTGACTGGCGGAAGTTGAGCAACATTATTTGGTGGTAATAAAGCAGAGTTTTTCTCATCGTTAGAGAAATTTTCTGCACCGTAGTTTTCTTGCAAAGGTGAAGTGTTGATCAATGACTTGACTGGAGGAACCTTAAGTGATGGTAATCCTTCCCCATGACTGTCTGGTTGAGCGGCAATTATTTCTAATGGTTTAGCGGATTGAGGAATTGTTTGAGAAATTCCTGCTGGTTTATTTTCAACTGATTCTGCAGAGCCAGTCATTTCCTCTGACGATGAGTCAGAAATTGGAGGAAAAGTAACAGGCCCAGTAGAGTAATAGGAACTAGTAGTCGGAGGTTTATTGACAGGATCGACCGATTGTATAGGAGGCAACTCCGGCTTTGCTGGTAAGGGTAAATAACCTTCCAACGTCTGTGGTGGCCCATTTGGTTCATTGTGCGACATTGGCAAATTATTCTGCATTTCGTTCATTTGTGAAGACTTCATCGGCTGGTTCATTTGTTGAATGTCAGCAACTGCATTTCCTTGCGGTAAAATTGTGGGGTTCATAGGTAAAACGTTAGGAGGAAGATTATTTTCAGGCGTTGATCCAGGTACTATCGCCGGTTGTGCATTTTGGGAATCGTCCACAAAACTTTGCATCGGTGTAGAAGGATTCAATGCTTGTTGCACATTGTTCGGAGGAAGTGCACCTTGAACGCCGCCAGGTATATTGTTTAAAGGTGAATTCAAAGTTGACTCAGGTGAAAATGTAGGCGCATTAGAATGAACAAATGTATTCGAATGTTGATTCTCTCCACTTTGTACTTGTTCAGAATCTTGTATTTGAACATTTGATTGTTCGTTTGGACAGTCAGTCACAGTCGACGGTGAAGATTGATCAATCGATGGAGGTTTATATACTAAATTTTCCGTCGGAAATTGTTCGAACGAAGGGTCTGGTTTATTATTAAATGCATTTTCTTGTGGACAGTCGGTAACGAAATGTTGTTCTGGATGGTTTTTTGGAGTAAAAGAATTCATTTCATTGTTTTTTGTCGGAGGAAATGGCTGTGCTTCAGGTTGTTGAATTTCAGGAAAAGATTCCTTAAGAGGTAATTCCGAAACCAGGGATGGCGATAGCATTTCTGAGGACTGAATTGATTGTTGTTTTGACAAAGAAATAGGTGGAATAAATTCAGACGGATGTTTTAATGGAGGTAATTTAATTACCGGTACTTGTTTCACTTTCGGTTGTGTCCTTGTAACAACTTCTTCGTTTTGTTGTGATGAAATTCCAACAGAATTTGGTTCTGAATGAGCGTACCCAGATTCACTATTTATTGGTAAATTTGGTTCCTGTTTGTTGTTGATCAAGGTATTTCCGTTAAAATTAGAATTTCCATCATTGTTAAAAGAATCATTGGTAACTAAAACGGGCGTGTCAGAAGTTCCAGTATTTTTGACCTGCTTTGGCATTAAAACAGGCAATACTGGCTGGGGAACATTCAAACCTGGTTCTTCCGTATTATCACCACCAAAAGTTTTAGCCATTGGTGGGACACCTGCTGGCAAAAGTCCTAAATTTTCAGTATTTTTTTCAATATCACGATTAGGACTTACAGGAATCGCTACAGATGAGTCTTGATTCGATATATGGGAACCTTCATGTGGTCCTTGAAACGTACCAGCTCCTTTGATTGAACCGAAATCGGGTCTTTCAAGAGTATGAAGTCCTCCTGATTCTGACAAAGGTGGAGGCAACAAATTTCCTGATTGTGATATTGCGTTGTTCGAACCATGAGTTGTCACTTGCGAATCACCCAAATGCTGTCCCGTGATAGGATTTTCGATTTGTTCAAAACTACTTCCAACGTTGTGTTGATTATATAAAGTCTTCGGCACGATTTGCATCGGAGTCGTCGTGTCGTCTTGAAATTCATTTTCCGGAATTTTTTTCTCATCTGACAAAAGCGGATACTTTAATATTTCCGTCGAATGATTCGGATTCGTCGTGGTGATTGTTAACGTCGGAGTAGACTTATTAAAAAGCGAAGGTAAATTCAAACTTAAATCGGATAATGTCGTATTAGCAGTCCGGAAACAACTGCAATTGTTCGTGCTGTCAAAATGCCGAAAACTATTTTTGATTTGTAGTTGTAAATTGGTCGTGTCACCAGGATTTGAGGATATAGCATTGGCCAAAGACGCGACAAGATCTTTTATGAGCGTGGCACATTTTTCAGCAAATTCATTCCAATTGTCCGAACAATTATTGTGAACTATTTCTTGTTTGCCCTTGACCGTGCTAAAACTTTCATTTCCCTGATGTCCTTTTTGTTGATATTTGGCTTCGTATTCGGTTTGAACCGAGGAAAGGGGAGGTTTACCCAAATCTCGCACGTGTCTTCCATTTTCTAAATCTTTCAATCTCGGTGGAACCTCGGTTTCGTGTAATTCAAAGTCACGGGGATGTCTCGTAATCGCACCCGGAACAACCTGAAATGTAATACGTTTAGGATTGTAGAAGGTTCTTTAACATGACCTAAAACAAAAGACGTAAACACACACTATTCAGAATTGAAGATTATATAAATATTTACACAATAAGTACTTAATATTCTTCAATTCAGGCACACTCTTTATCTAAGAAAAAAAAAAAAATATTAACTACCATTTTTTCCTTTATTTCCGATGACTACGATTGATTTCTTATCGAACGAATTCCCCCCCCCCTTCCCCTGTTTCCCCGTTATAAAAAAAAAAAATTATCTTTTCGTTATTTAATAATAATAATAATAATAATTAAATACCGGGATAGTAAAGAGACATAACAGATGGAATCGTAAAAATTTATTAACAAAAAAAAAAAACGCAAGTTAAACAAAAAATCGATAGATACCCTAATTAATACGTGAAATAATAATAATAAACAAATAAATTTTTTTTTGTTAACAAAATATAACACAATTATAACGACAGTAAGACCATAGTAATCATCATCATTATCATCATGCTTTGTAGAAATAAAAATTTAAAAAAAAAATTTTCATCCATCAGATCAAAAAAAAAAAGAAAAATGGAGAGAGTTAACTAACCTCTTGTACGAATAACGTTGATATCCATATAAATATAATCAAATTCATTTTTTTCCTGTTGATCATCACTTGTGTGTGTGTATGTGTGTCTGTTTGTTGCGTCGTTTGTTGTAGAAGAAAAAAAAAAAAAATTTTTTTTATATATTAATTAAAACGATATACATTTGCCATGAACGACGATACGAATACTGAAGACAAATTCAAATTGCTCACATATTTGATGGGTGCATGACGTAAACAATGGTGACACTCAAAAGAAGGCATTGATCAATTAAATCAAATTGTAAATACGTACGACACAATGACCTTTTATCAGGTAGAAGGAAGGCCAATTACAAAGATATACTACCTTCGTAAATTAAATAAAAACCTAATAGGCAGGCATTTTATTCTGAAAAAAAAAAAAAAAAAAAAAACGAAAAGTTAAAATTTAAAAAAACAACAACCACGATGACGACCACGACAACAATCACGACGATGACGACGACGAAAGAAAATTTTCCTCTGGAAAACGGGAAAAGAGTGAGAAATTAAAGAAGGTCAAATCGAAGGGATGATAACATGGCCGAAGGATTGGGAGAGAGAGAGAGAGAGAGAGAGAGGGAAAAACATTTTTTTTTTCCCCCCTCATTCGTGTATTACATAATATTCGAATACGAAAAAAAAAATATAATAATAATAATTATGTCAGCGATTGTTAAGACAACAACAACAACAAAAAAAACAAAAACAAAATTATTATTATTATTATTATTGATACCTGATCGAAGGAAATTTCTTGGAATCGAATTCAATGTCGATATTTTGTAGTTGTCGTTTTTTTTTTTTTTTTTTTTTTTTTTTTCCACATAATTTACGATATTTTAAGGTTTGTTTTCAGGTTTACAAACTTAAAATTTTTAACAAGAAGGAGGTAAGGAAATGAAAAGGTTTTCGAACTCGAATAATAATAATAATAAAAGAAACAATTTAAACGTTTAATTAACCCGAAATTTTTTTTTTTTTTTCCCCCCCGGTTTCCGGAAATTTGCGGTCGACATTTTTTTTTTCCCAAGGTTTCTCCCTCCCTTTCTTCTTCTTTCACATCACGAGTTCAAAGTTCATTTTAATTTTTATTCCCTTTCCACCCTTAATCACGGGTAGGTAAATTAAATTATTTTTAACGCCATTTTTTTTTTTTTACCCGAATAAGGAAACATATTTTTTTTAATAAGAAATGCAAAATCATTCCATAGAGTATACAAACAATAGATTATTGTTCAGTAACAAACAAAAAACTTTTTTTTTTTTTTTTTTCTGGTATTTTGTTAACCTTTCTATAATAATAATAATAATAATCAATATTGATTGTTGTTTTTTTTTTTTTTTTAAATTTAATTATTGATTTATTGAATAAAAAAAAAAAAAAAAATTATTTAATTTTTTGTTCTTGTTTGTTTGTTTGTTTTATTTGTTAAAAAAAATTAATAATTATATACTATTTCGTTATATATTCATAATATATATAAATATATACGTGTTTATATTGTAAAAGCAAAAAAAAAAATATACTTGTTTGCCGTTTGTTGGTTGTTATTAATAAATAAATAAAAATTTTCAATATGTCGTCGTAAAAAAAAAAAAAAAAAAACGATTTAAATAAAGAAAATTTCTTTTTTCTTTCATTATTGATTTAATTATTATTATTATTACTAACCTTCGTGGTTTATGTTTTTTTGTAGTTTGTTGTTGTTGTTGTTGTTGTTGTTGCTGTACTCGTCGTCGTCGTTGTCGTTGTGTCGTCATTATTATTCCATCGGTTGAATTTTTTTTTTTAATTTCTACGTTTTAAAATTTTAATATTATTTAAAAAAAAAAATTAAAACAAACAGTAAACGCGTTTGTTGTTATTGTTGCAATTGTTGTTGTTGTTTTCGTTTTCATTTTTTCCATTAATGAAAAATTTCAAATTTACATATAAACATATTTTTTTTTTTCGTTTTTTTTTTTTCGAATGTTACGTTACGACGAAAAAAAATTTTTTTTTTAATTCTTTTTTTTGCGATCGTTTGTCGTTGTCGTTGTTGTTTACAATTCGTTTGTTCCATTATTGCAATCCTCGTATATTTTAATTAATACTTGATATAAAAAATAAATTTTCATCAAGGACGATTTTTGTTATATATTTATAAAAAAAAAAAAAAATTTATCATATCATTCAAAAAAAATTTTTTTTTGATTGTTTACCTATCGACAACAACAACAACAACAACAACATTATTATTATTATTATTAAATTTGTTTGTTATAATTTCGGTTTAATTTTCTTTGCAAATCGTTAAATAAATCGATTAATCGATCTTAAATTAATCGTTTTAAAAAAAAAAAAAAAAAAATTATTATTATGAAATTTGGTCGTGGAATTAGAAACGTTTACGTTTTTACCTTATTTACGCCATTTTTTTTTCTTTTTTTGCTGAACTTTTTACTCTTCTTAAACAATAACTAAAAAAAAAAAAAATTTATAAATCTTCTGCAATCTTTTAGATAATGTCTTCTTTCTTTCTCTCTCTCTTTCTTTCTCATTCGAACGGTTATATTATGTGATTTTACAAAACAAAAAAAAGACACCTTAAGGTTATTTTAATTGACTTTTGCACGTAACGTTAATAAATGCGATAATAATAATAATATTTATATCATAAAGAAGAAAAAGAAAAAGTTCATCAAAAATAATGTACCTGACTGATAAAAATTATAACCGTTAAAAACGTTTCTCTCTCTCTCTCTCTCTCTCTCTCTCTGATAAAAAAATTTTTCTTAGTGCCACCTTAAGTGATAACACAAAATACCAACGAGATTATTTAATAAATTTAATAAATCCATCTTTACCCCCCCCCCTTTCTCCCTTCCTCCCCCCGACGGAGTAAGGGAACGAATATGTAAAAACTTTGTTGAATTTGTTCAGGCGTTTGTTCAGCCTAATTTAAAAAAAAAAATGTTTCCATTACCTCATTAAAAAATTTACTACCTTCGTTTTGTACGCATAAATACGCACACTCGTGTGCGTGTGCGTGTGTATATTTATTTAAAAAAACGATAATAATAATAATAAAAATATTTCTTTTTTGAATAATTTTTCGTCGTCGTCGTATCAAAGGTCAAATAAGGTCAAGTTGATATTTTATTTTATTTTTTTAAATTTATTATTATTTATTTATTTATTTTTTTAATATTTACCTTACGAGATTTTTTTTAAAAAAAATTTTTTCTCTTATCGATAACATTTCTAATGCAATTTTTTCACTTTTTTAAATTGATAATAATAATGATAATGATAATGATAATATTAGTGAGTTTGATTAAGGGTCCCCGTCGAGATTTATTTAGTCGCTCTTAATGATTTTAATTACGATTTTTTTAAAATATAAATCATTTTATTTTAAAAAAAATGCCATAAATAATAATTATTGAATGTATATAATAAAATTAATAATAATAATAATAGTAAACGGTCGGAAACGTCGATATTAATAATGATAATAAAATGGCCTCCCAGTGATCGAAACGAAGTTAGTGGGCGCAATTTTTTAGTTTTTTAGTTTTAAGGTTTTAAAATTTAAAATAATAAAATTAATGATAAAATGTAAATTAAGGAATTTGTCATTAATAATAAAATGATCCGCCATTTTGTTTTCTTTTTAAATTTATATTTTTTTTTTACACGAAATAAATAAAAATAAAAAGACAAAAATTGAAAATTTTGCTGTTGTGTGAGTGTGTGCGGGTGAGTTGTGTTGATTTCCAGGTTGTTATCACTTTCGTCATCGTTCCTGTACTGATTACAATAAGGTTCAGGTCCATTGAAAATATTTAACACACACAAAAACGTTTTTTTTTTCTTTTTTCTCCAAATCCATTATCGAATAAATATTTTATAATAAGTTCCAAAAAAAAAAAAACAAAACAAAACAAAATCCGAATTGTCACGTGTTCATTCACGATTTACTTAATTATTATTACTATTATTATTAAATTCTAAAAATAAAAAATTTTATTATTATTATTTTTATTAAAATAATTATTCCAATGAAAATGTGATGAAATGTTTTTTTTTGGATGAATGATGATTTTGATAAATTAATTTAATTTTTTTTTGGGGGGCGGGGGAATTTATGATACCTCATTATCGAAAGATTAATAATATGAATAGAAAATAATAATAATAATAATAAAGACTGAATTAATAAAACGTTAAATTTTTTTTTAAATTTAAATAATTTGTGTTGAGTTTTTTTTTTTTTTTAATTCCGTATTTTAAATAATAAATAAATAAATACTAACATTAAACTCATTAAAACTTTCTTCATTTTCTTTTTTAATAAAAGTTTTAATCTTAATAATAATGAATTCGAAAGAAAAATAATAAATAAAATATTAATAAAAAAAAAAAAAAAGAAAAGAAGAGATTAAAAATTTCTTTTTAAAAATAATAAACCGCGTTTTTCATATTCAAATAACAAACAAGCGATTTCTGAAATTTTTACGTTACGTAATCAGTGACGTCACATTTAGATTAGCCAATCAAAAACGAGAAATTTTTCGCTCGTTTAAAAATGGCTTCTGCTCAGTGGATGGAGAGAGGTAAGTAACAGTTTTTCTTAAATTTTTTTTTTTTTTGCTTGTTTTAAGGAAACAACCGACGATTGTTGTTTTCAAATTATGTTTTATGTTTTCTAAACTTCGTATTTTTTTATTTATATACTTTATAAACTATTCGAAAACGTTTTTTATCCGATATATATGAGCAAATATTCAATCGTTATTATAAATGCATAATGCATATGCCTGAAAAAAAAAAAAAAAATACTAATGTAAAAATATTAATCAATCATGTTATTTTAAATACATACTGCCATGTTTTATTCATGATAAAACATAATCTAGATAAATAATAGTTTTTGTTTTTTTTAAAGAGAAAAGAAAGTAAAATTTATTAATATAATTAATTAATTATAATAATTAACTATCATGTTTATAAATGATGTAAATAAATAAATAATGTTAATATGTAAATATGTAAAATTAACATTCATTTTTTGAATAATATGATATTATGTTTTTGTTTTATTATTAAAGTATAAGAATTCGATTAATAAATAGATGATAATAATAATAATAGATAATTGAAAATCGCACTTGTTAATAAATAGTTTTGATGCGATTAAAAAAAAAAATACAAACATATATATAAATATATGCATGTAATTTTATATGAAAAATTATAGGTTTGTTCTAATAAATATGTTTGTTGGTTTGTTTGTTTGTTTGTTTGTTTGTCCGCGTTAATTAAAAATTTTTTTAGAGTAAAAAATATATGATTTGGATGACGTTCTAAGAAAATTGTTAACTAATGATAAATATGTGTTTGTGATGCCAAAATGTGAGAATTATGTGATTATGGCGATGATAGTAATAATGATGATGATGGTGATAATGATGACGTTGATCCTCGTGTTAAACATGGAAATTGTTAGTCGAGAAGTCATGAAAATGTTTGATGAAATTGTTATCAATCATTTAAACGTTTTCCCATTTAGTAAATCCTTTCTGAAACATAAATAAAAAAAAAAAAACAAAAAAATTATAACGGTTTTACCTCTTTGTGTATGCGTGGGTGTGTGGGTTTTTGTAAATGGGTCCTGAACATATTGTTTATTTTGGAGATAGAGAAAAAAAAACGGTTATGCCAAAAAATTCCTGCCACGACTTTTTTTTTTTCCCCCTTTGATGCACTTTTATTTTCTAGCAAATGGTTGTGTGTGCGATCCTTGAATTTTATATTGTTTTTCTTTTTGAATTGTATGCATTATTATTATTATTATTAATTTTTTCGACACCGGAGAATATAGGCGTACGCAGAGAGTTGTTTGTTTGTTTGTTTTTCCGTGATTTTCTAAACCATTTTCTGTATTGAATATGTCATGGCTGTTGTTTTGAAGAAATTATTAAACTTACCCTTTTTAATTGAAGATCTCTCAATCGAAGTGGAATATTATTTTGTTTATTGTTTTTTTTTTTTATTGTTTTCGTTGTGTTTACTGAATTGTCTCCCACAAATGGCGAACAAACTACCTGAAAACTATTCAGGAGTTGAAATCTATAGTATCGTATCCAAATAAAAAAAAAAAATCTTGATTGGTCGAGTGATGTTTAAATATAATAATTATATGATATGATGAATGAAGCACGTTTACTGTCTGCTAGGGAATTTCACGGTAGTAGCGTCAGAGAACGGAACCGGCTTGTACAAAGCCTTTGGAAAAGTTGATTTTTCGTTAAATGTACAATTCATGGGTGTTCCGTCTCCCAAGTAAACTTTTTCAACATTGTAATTTTCTTCTCCTGAGAAGTCACCGGGTACTTTAGTTATAAGTATGTAATATGAAGGTGCAGTCATGTTTCCTTTCATTAAGGGATGAAATGGACACATTAGAGGAGTACGTGAAGAGCAGGAAACAGAGTGCTCACCTGGTATGCTCGTAGAAGGAAAAGTACTTGGGTCGGTACTTAATACGTCTTGAGAGTAAACGTTTGGATCGTTAAAACTTGTGTCAGGCGTTGTCAAAACTTCTTGTACGTTAACAGGTCTCAATGTCGATTCGAAATAAGATTCCTGTGGTTGTTGAGTTACGATTACCGGTTGGTCATTAACAGTTGGGTCAGTTGTTGTGTAAAAAACCTGTTGATTTTCTGGAAGTGGTGATGAAGTATTATATTGTTCCTCTGATACGTTATCCAAAATTTCGTCACTGTTTTCTACGAATTCAGAGGTGTTTGGATTACCGGGGAAAGAAACTACACCCGGCTGAGCCGTGGTCGTAGAAAATAAATTACTATTAGCTGGACCGTGTTGTAAGGGAGTGCGTGAAAAATAAAGTGGAGATTGCGTTGATGTTGGTAAATTAACCAATTCTGATGATGTTTCTTCGTAAGCAGGAGTTGACAACTCATCAGATTCCATTTGGCTGGAGTTATTGTCATTCGTTGAAGTTTCAGGTGTTAAAGTTGATATTAAAGAATCAGATTCTAACGAGCCCTTGTTATTATTCACAATTACATCACTATTTAAGAGGTAGGGAATGGGTTGAAAAGTTGTCAAATACTCAGATGACGTAGTGGCATTATTATCCTCAGGTACTTCGGTCGAAGCAAGAATTTCAGATGAGTCTACACCCTCGGTAGAAGTTACGTCTTCTTGTTCATTAGAAGGTAAATACGATTCGACGGAAACGGGATTGTATTCGATAGAAACAGGAGTTTCAGTCGATGCCAAATAGTCTCCTTCTTCAAGTGAAGATGGAGTTTCGGTGGTTACAGAAACATATTCTGTGGTTGTAGTGACTGGATTTTCAGTGGATTCCGAAAATACTTGTTGTTCATCAGATGTAGTGGCCTCGATAGAAAGCGGATCATCTTCTGCCTCGACGGAAACTGGGGCTTCGGTTGATCCCAAATATTCTTGTTCTTCAACAGACAATGGAGCTTCATTAGATTCTAAAAGTATTTGTTCTTCAGAAGAAGTAGGTAATTGTTCTTCGGCTGATGCTGGAGTTTCAGTAGTTACAGAAACGTAATCGATTTTGGTTGTCTCTGGAGTTTCGCTAGACACTGGAACGTATTCCATTTCGGTAGACGAAGCTGGAGCTTCAGTCGATTCCAAATATTCTTGTTCTTCAACAGATAATGGAGCTTCGGTAGAAACTGGAACGTATTCCATTTCGGTAGACGAAGCTAGAGCTTCAGTGGATCCCAAATATTCTTGTTCTTCAACAGATAAAGGAGCTTCGGTAGAAACAGGAACGTATTCCATTTCAGAGGAAACTGGAGCTTCAGTAGAGACTGGAACGTATTCCATTTCAGCGGAAACTGGAGCTTCAGTAGAGACTGGAACGTATTCCATTTCAGCGGAAACTGGAGCTTCTGTAGAAACTGGAACGTATTCCATTTCGGTGGATGAAACTGGGACTTCAGTTGATCCCAAATATTCCTGTTCTTCAACTGATAATGGAGCTTCAGTGGACATTGGAGCGTAATCCATTTCGGCGGAAACTGGAGCTTCTGTAGAAACTGGAACGTATTCCATTTCGGTAGACGAAACTGGGGCTTCAGCCGATCCCAAATATTCCTGTTCTTCAACAGACAATGGAGCTTCAGTGGACATTGGAGCGTAATCCATTTCGGCGGAAACTGGACTTCAGTAGAAACTGGAGCTTCAGTGGAAACTGGAACGTATTCCATTTCGGTAGACGAAACTGGGGCTTCAGCCGATCCCAAATATTCTTGTTCTTCAACAGACAATGGAGCTTCAGTGGACATTGGAACGTATTCAATTTCAGCGGAAACTGGAGCTTCAGTGGAAACTGGAACGTATTCCATTTCGGTAGACGAAACTGGGGCTTCAGTTGATTCCAAATATTCTTCTTCTTCAACAGACAATGGAGTTTCAGTGGACACTGGAATGTATTCCATTTCGCTAGAAGAAACTGGGACTTCAGTTGATCCCACATATTCTTGTTCTTCAGAAGAAGTAGTAAATTGTTCTTCGGCTGATGCTGGAGTTTCAGTGGTTACAGAAACATATTCAGTGGTTGTAGACTCGGGAACTTCCGTAGAATCTGGCACATATTCCGTTTCAGCGGAAACTGGAGCTTCAGTTGAAACTGGAACGTATTCCATTTCGGCGGAAACTGGAGCTTCAGTAGAAACTGGAGCGTATTCCATTTCGGGGGAAGAAGCTGGAGCTTCAGATGATCCCAAATATTCTTGTTCTATAGACAATGGAGCTTCATTAGATTCTGAAAGTATTTGTTCTTCAGAAGAAGTAGTAAATTGTTCTTCGGCTGATGCTGGAGTTTCAGTGGTTACAGAAACATATTCAGTGGTTGTAGACTCGGGAACTTCCGTAGAATCTGGCACATATTCCGTTTCAGCGGAAACTGGAACTTCAGTAGAAACTGGAACATATTCCAATTCGGCAGACGAAACTGGAGCTTCAGTAGAAACTGGAACATATTCCATTTCGGCGGAAACTGGAGCTTCCGTAGAAACTGGAACATATTCAATTTCAACAGATACTGGAGCTTCAGATGATCCCAAATATTCTTGTTCTTCGGCAGATAATGGAGCTTCGGTGGAAATTGGAACGTATTCTATTTCGACGGAAACTGGAGCTTCAGTTGATCCCAAATATTCTTGTTCTTCGGCAGATAATGGAGCTTCGGTGGAAACTGGAACGTATTCTATTTCGACGGAAACTGGAGCTTCAGTTGATCCCAAGTATTCTTCCTCTGCAGACATTGGAACTTCAGTAGAAACTGGTTCGTATACTACTTCGGTGGATACTGGAACTTCGGTAGATTCTGGAGGCATTAATTCAGAAGATGTGACAAATCCTCCTTCTTCGGCTGATACTGGAGTTTCGGTGGTCACAGAAACGTAATCGATTTTAGTAGACTCTGGAATCACTTCTTCTTCAGAAGATTGTAAACCTTCTGTAGAAACTTCTTCCATTTCTACAGATGTGGGAACTTCAGTGGAAGCTAAGTATTCTTGTTCTTCAATAGATAATGGAGCTTCGGTGGACACTGGAACGTATTCCATTTCAGTGGAAACCGGAACTTCAGTAGAAGTTGGTTCATATTCCATTTCGGTAGATACTGGATCTTCGGTAGACTCTGGAAGCATTTCTTCGGAGGAAGTTACAAGTACCTGTTCATCTGATGCTGGAGTTTCGGTGGTTACAGAAACGTAATCTATTTTAGTAGACTCTGGAGTCACTTCTTCTTCAGAAGTTTGTAAATTTTCAGTGGAAACCGGAACGTATTCCATTTCTACAGATGTGGGAACTTCAGTGGAAGCTAAGTATTCTTGTTCTTCAACAGATAATGGAGCTTCGGTGGAAACTGGAACATATTCCATTTCAGCGGAAACCGGAACTTCAGTAGAAGTTGGTTCATATTCCATTTCGGTAGATACTGGAACTTCAGTAGAATCCAGCAGCATTTGTTCTTCGGAAGAAGTAGTCAATTCTTCTTCGACTGATGCTGGAGTTTCAGTGGTTACAGAAACATAATCGACTGTAGTCGATTCTGGAGTTTCGGTGTAATCTGGAACGTATTCCATTTCAGTAGAAGTTGGTTCATATTCCATTTCGGTAGATACTGGAGCTTCGGTAGACTCTGGAAGCATTACGTATTCCACTTCGTCATATTTCGGAGCTTCAGTTGATTCCACATTTTCAGATGGTGTTTGTTCGCTAGAAGCCGTTGTGTTTTCGAATGTGACTGGTCCTCTGTCGGATCCTGGATATACACTTTCATATGGATTTTGGGTTTGTACGAGGGATAATATTTCCGGGTTTTCGTATTGACTTTGAGTCGTGAAATCTGGGTTTACATTTAAGAAAGGTTGTTCCGTCGTGGAATGGATTTCTTCTTGAGATACTTCATCCGAACCAAGATTTGGGACTATAGTAGTGGAGCAAGAAGACATATAGTTATTTAATGCGGGAGAAGGGGTCGTTTGAAAACCTAAGCCTTCCACATAGGTCAATTGAATTTTACGAGAATCTGATTGTAAATTATCGCGAAAAGATTCCATTTTATTTTCATCACAAATCGACTTACAATTAACTTTTTTTAAACAGAGTCCGTCATTTTCATTGGTTGCCTTGATCAACACGCTCGGAGTCGAACCATCCGGACATTTACCATCGGAATGCACAACGCTCGCGTTAATTTTAAAATTTAACACTCCATTTTCGTGATCGTTTTTCCCTAATAAATTACCAATGGCTTGAAGGAAATTGCTTATTATTTCCGTGCATTTTTGAGTGTAGCTATTCCAGTCGGAACTGTCGGCGTTGTGTACGAATTCGTGAGTTCCTCTGAGAGCACCACCAGAAATTTCTTCATTCGTGCAAAAGTTTTTCCTTTGGTAAACGCCATCGAAATTCGTTATGAATGTTGCATTTAATGGTTTTTTTGCTCTCAATGTTGGAATCACCGATCCCTACAATCAGAAAAAAAAAAAAAAACATTTTTTTTTTTACTGCCACACATCTTGTTATTAAAAATTATATTATATAATAATAATAATAATGTTTTTCTTTTCAGAGTAATTTACCAACACAAATGACATTTAATAATAATAATGATTTTACAAGGCGAGAAGAATCGTAAAGGCAATTATAAAAACTCGTAAGGGAAAAAAGGCAACGCCCCTTATAAAATTAAGGTAACACCTTTTAATTATATATATATGTATATGTAAACAAAAATGATATCATATTTTTAACGCAATAATAATAATAATAATAATAATAATAATAATTATAATAATATTTAACACCGAATTTAACGTTAACAGGATTCGAATAATAATCGAATTGCAAATACCGCAATTTAACGTAATTATTATTTAATAAAACAAATTATTATTATTATTATTATTATTAATATTAATTATAACGTTACGTAAACGTTTTATGCATGTTTATGTTATGTTATGTTATGTTTTGGAAAGCCTAAAACATTTATTATTATTATTATTTTTCCCCCTAATTAAATCGCGGTTTCTGAAATTTAAGAAATGCGAAAATATAGAAAGAAGCCGAAACAATAAGCGAGCCTGTTTTTTTTTTTTTTTTACTTTTCGTTTGTTTGTTCGTTTGTTTGTTTGTTTGTTTGTCGTTTGTTTGAAACGCAACGCAACGCGGCTAATGTTTTTGTTTAAAAAATAAATAATAATAAATTATTAAAAAAGCAAAAAAATATACGTACATGTACGCGATCTCACACATAGAAAAACATGTGAGTGAGAGCGCGTGCGTGCATGCGTGAGTGCGTTTGTGCGTGTGAGTAACAAAAAAAAACTAATTTAAAATATTGCCAACAAAATATTATTTTTACGTGTGTGTGTGATGATGATGAGTTATCGTTAAAAAAAAAAAAAAAGGTAAATTGGATGAAACGTTTAAAAACGTCATTTTGCTATTCGATAAAAAATTTAAATATTTAGTAAAACGTCGACAAAAAATTATTATTATTATTATTATTATTATTATTATTATTATTATTTTCTTTCCTTTTTGTTTATCTGTTTAAAAATATTGAAAAGAGTCGAAATTTCATTTGACTAAGGCCGAAAAAAAAAAAAAAAAAAAACACGTTTGTTTGAAAAATTTTTACTTTTTTTTTTTTACTTCCAAACGATTTTATTATTATTATCATTAGTATTATTGTTATTATTATTATTATTTACTACTTTGAAAACGAAACATTAACAAAACAAAAAAAATAAAAAAGAATAACGTTAATTTTATTGTTTATGTATTGGTACTACTGCTACTGCTAGGTACACGAACATAATTTGAAAAGGTTTCCAAATAACCTTTTGAACTTTTTAAAAATTATGGCGATCGATCGAATTTTTCCGGAGAACAAAAAGAAAAAAAAAAAAAAAACTAATTTGAAAAGAAAAAAAAGGCGGGAAAAATTTTTGGAACAGGTTAAAAAAAAAAAATTAAAATATTATTATTATAATTAATCGTGTTTACGAATACGGTTTCAATAATACTCAATATTAGTAGTTAATGGTATTAATGGTAATAATAATAATAATAATAAACACAATAATAATAATAATAATAATAATAATAAGGATGCGGGAAAATCATACCTGAGAAATGTAGAGCAATAATAAAACGAACAAACCAATTGAAAAAATCTTCATATTTTCACGGACAAAGTACAAATGAGTTGAAACAAATTGAGTCCACCTTATTTTAGCTGGATGGAACAAAAGGACAATTGAATGAATCTGCTTTATCTTTAATTATCAAACGTGTTCGGGGTAAAATAATAATAATAACAATCGCATTAATCCGACCTGAGCCTAAAAATCAAACGATACCTGACGATAATTTACGGTCCGACATTAAAAATCTCTCTCTCTCTCTCTCTCACACACACACAGCGAAACCGCAACACAGATCAACATGTTTTTCTTTCTTTCTTTCTTTCTTAAACCAATAATACCGTTATTATTATTATTATTATTATTATTGTTATTGTTATTTTAACCTTAATTAATTAATTATCGTCGATGAAATTACGCAAATCCTTAAAGATAGATAATTGAGATATATACATATACATATATACGAATAATAATAATAATAATAATAATAATAATAAATTCGTGTTATTTTATTTTTTTAAAGTAAATAAAGAGAGAATTTTTTTTTTTTTTTGGTAAATTAATCAATGTAAAATAATAATATTTCATAATAAGCATTTCCGAATTCGTATATTATCGATAATTATAATAATAATAATAATAATAATAATAATAAGGTTTTTACAAAAAAAAAAAAAAATGGACGGTGATAAATGATTTGTAAATACGACGTATGACATATTTCACGATAACGACAAATAACCGACGAGAAAAAGAAATTATTATTATTATTATTATTATTATTATTATTATTAATAAAAAAAAACTAATTTGATCATTGTAATGGGGAGTAATTAATAATTATAATAATATTTGTGCGAAGGTTGTTGTTGTTGTTGTAATCCAGGAGGCATCGTAATAAATAAATCGTCACGTTGCCCTCCATACGAAGAAACGGTGGAAAACAAACAATTTTTCGACGGTTTTTTTTTTTTTTTTTTTTTTATTAATTAAAATTTTGTAAACTTTCATTTATGGAGAGAGTGAGGGAGAGAGAGAGAGAGTGCGTGTGTGTGTGTGTGAAAAAAGGAATAAAAAAAATGTTAATTAATATGTAAAAAAAAAAAGAGAAAAATCAAAAAAAAAAAAAAAATGTCCCCCCCCCTTCCCTCAAAGGTTTTTTATTACGTTCAAATGATTTATTCCATTTAAATTTAACGACCCGATAAACGAAATTTTTTTTTTTTTGAAGTAAAAAAAAAACTTGTACTTACTCTCTCTCCTCTCTCTCTCTCTCTCTTACTCTTCTCTTTCTCTCTTCTTTCTCTCCTTTTCAATTTAAAATATTTCTTTTCGTTTTTAAACCCCCCCCCCCAAAAAAAAAAAAAAAGCGGAGGTTGAGAGGGTAAACATAAAGGAGGATTTAAAACCAAATGGGAAATTTTTTTTCAAAAAGGAAATCCTGAAGAAGTTTTAGTAATAATAATAATAACAATAATGGGGATAATAATAATAATAATAATAATAATAATAATAATAATAATAATAATTTTTTGGCAACAGGGGGAAGAGGGGGGAAGGGAAAATTAAATAAATTATATAAATAATAATAAGAGGGAGAAGAAGAAGAAAAAAATTAAATAAATGGGAAAAGAAATACATTTTATTTATTTATTTTATTTATTTTTTTATTTATAAATGAGTTTTTGGTTTTTAGGTACAACGTACCTGTCTAATTTCATTTTCATTTAATTAAAAAATTTTATCGTTAACAACAAAAAAAAAAAAAAAAAAAAAAAAATTCATGTTTCTCTTATTATTCAATATAAAACAGAAAAAAATTATTATTATTTTTTTTTCCAAATGTTATTATTTTAAATTAATAAATATTTTATTTAAAATAAGTTATTGTTATTATTATTATTAATATTATTTTTAAAATATGGTAAATTCAAATTTTTTTCATTCGTCCTTGTTTAGAAAAAAAAAAAATTTTTTTGTAAAGTGATAACAAGTTATCGGAAAAATATTTAATACGTATATGAAATTTTTTTTTTTTAAATATATAAGAGAGTAAGAAAATAAATATTTTTTTTTTTTAACTCTATGAAAGTAATTGTAATTTTTTATTCATATCTATGGAAAATGATTAAATTTTTTTCTTCTTACTCTATGATAAAATATTTTTCTTTTACTAGATAGCTGTGACAAGTGTTTGATTTTAATGACGATTTGATTAATTATATTTTAATTATTATTTTCGTTTGAATCGGAAAATGGGAAAACGGGGAGGGAGGAGGGGGGGAAGGAAGGGGAGGATGTATAATATTTTAATATCGATTAATCGTTTCGATTCGATTTGACGATATATCGAAATAATTTTTCGTTTTATTTAAAAAAACCAAAAACGAATTTTTATTTTTAATTTTTTTTTGCGAATGTTACGATTGTTGCGATTGTTGTTGTTGTTGTTGTTTTTCATTAATTAAACAAAATAAAAAAGGGAACGTTAGTTAGTAAAAACAAAAAGAAAAATCTAAAAATACAATTGTTTTTAAAAAGATGCACACACACACACACTTGAATATCTATTTCCGCGTGGTTTTTACAATTACTCTCAACTCTCGTCCGCCATTTTTTTTTTCTTTTCCTATCGCCTCAAAATTAATCCGATAAAATTTTCTTTTTTTTTCTTTTAATATCAAACTATAAATGCGATTTTCTTCTCCTTCTTCTCAATTTCTTCTTCTTTTTCTTCTTTTTTTTATTATCATCATTATTATTATTAACTATTAATTTCTTTTTTATTTTAATTTACGAAAAAATAGAAAAAAAATTTGACAATAATTTTCCGGATTGTAAAACGATTCAATCCTTGAATACAATCCTTTTAAAAAAAAAAAAAAAACGTGGTTTTAGAAGAAAAGAATAAAGATGTAAAGTTTTATTATTATTATTATTATTATTATTATTTATTATATCGACTTTTTTGTTGTTTTTTTTTTTCGATTCAAGGTTTTTGTGTTGTTTTTTGATTATCAAAATCAATTTTGAAATTTCATTATTATTATTATTATTATTATTTTTTTTTTTTAATTGATTCATTTCATGTTTTACACGAATTGATAAATAATATTTTAAAATATTTGATTATTTGCAATCATCATCATTTTACCGACATTTTTTTTTTTTTTTACAAATCTCTCTCTCTCTCTTTCTCTTTCTTATTTTGATGATTGATAAAAAAGAGAAAGAATTTGTTGTTTGTTGTTTGTTGTTAAAACGGAGAAAAGATTGGCAGAAGATATCATTGAAATGAAATTTTTTACTAGTGCGAAACATAAAAAAATTATTATTATTATTATTCGTTTCGAACTATTTATTTTATAATACGTTAACGCAATTGAATCATCATTTTATACTCGTTGTATATATAAATATAAATTTTGCTGCGTGAAATA